TTTCCAACTATTTGTGTCTGTCTGAGTTTGAGAGATCACGTGATGAGCAGACAATAGAGGGGCACTCTTGGACTGTGGAAAGGTTAGAGGGTTTTTTGTGTTGTCCAGCAAGGGGGGAGGGGGAAGGGGGGTTGTATGGAGGCTGTGAATGGGATCATTGAGTCGGAGGTAATTTTAGGCCCCGTATCACGGCTTTAGTTGGACTGGCCTTTTTGCTGACATGCCCGTTTCCCCCTCTTGCTCCCCCCTTTTTTAACCCCAGCCCCCAATTCCCTTCAGTGCTGCATCGGCGTTTCTGTCCAATTCAAACCTTTATCACGGTGCCCATGATGACATGTGTGATAGGGTGTGGCAAGCAGGATCTCCTTTTTACCCCTGTACCTTGGGGAGCCCGTCCATCTTGAGATAGATAACTTGCTGCTGTGTCATTATTGTGGTTTCATAAACCACCAGAGCCCATTTTAAACTTGACACACACAGGACATTCCCATACATTACAATTGGAAATGGCTGTACCTGCTGGGAGCTGGTGTAGTGATTGCTGTGGGGCCTGCCTGTTAAAGAGTCTCTCATAGGAAACTTGAAGGCCAAATTTCAGACAATGGTAGAGAGCTTGAGCTCACCGCTAGAGGAGGCTTGGGTATGAACAAGTCACAAAGGACTGCTGTTGTTGAGAAATGAGCACAGTCACAAAAATAGATTTGGTCAAGTGTCACAGTGGGTAATGTAAACAAAAAGGATGGTATTGGAAGACGTGAATGTAACCATATTTTTAATAACCATATAATGGATTGCTACAGGTTCTGATAATTTATAGAATTTGTAACAAAACAGGTTTTAGTTAATAACCACTGAAAGAATGTAGAGATGGCTAACAGCATTGGACAAACTATCATTAACCATGTTCATACCTTCATACGAGGGGTGAATGATTTTGGTAAAACATCTCTTCTGGCCAAAATTAGGATTTCAGATTTAGTTATGATTTTCTTCAGTATAATCTTCTGCACAATTGTATCAACGTACAGAAACATTACTGTTCCTTTCTCTCACACAGAGCTGAGTGATGGACAGAAAATATGCGACAGAAATAGAGGACGACCACCATAGCCTGGCAAGTCATCCTATAAATACGAAAATATAGTCTGGCCATGACGTATAGGCAAATCTCAGTCATGTGCAGAATCTACAGTTGTCTTTCAAACTGTCTCCGCATGCTATTGGACATTGGAAAACGTGACAGTGACTGCTACGCATGTCAGCCAACTCAACAGTCTGCCACACAATGCTGAATGAGACGCACAAACATCCTTTTTCTAAGCAAACTTGGGTACCTTATTTTCTGCACTATTAAAAACCTTTGATCTTCCCCTGAACCGTCAGTGCACCTTTTAATACAGATGCACCTTTTATACATTTATTAAGGAAGTAAGTGAAGCCAGCCACACCTGCGTCTGCAGGAAAACAAAGAGCCGGCCCGTAGCACCGCCCACCCTTTGCAAGCGGCGAGCAGAAGCATCTCCACCGTCTCCATTCGTCTCAAAGCTGCAGCATTAGTACGAGAGATGGACATTGCAGACTTCATAGGAGGCCCTTCCTGGTGTTTTTGCTTCATGCGGAGGCGAACGCTTTCTATCCGCACCAGAACTACCGTCTCGCAGTAGCTACCCGCCGACTACACTGAGAAGCTAGAGTTGTTCCACTCCTATTGCACTAAGAACATGGCAGACAAAAACATCCAGCCCCAGCACATCACCAACATGGACGAGGTCCCGCTTACCTTCGACATCCCGGTGAACCGGACCGTGTAGAAAATGGGGACCAGCACGGTGTCTGTGCGGACGACCGGCCATGAGAAGTCCTGCTTCACCTTCGTGCTCGCCTGCCAGGCTGATGGCCAGAAGCTTCCGCCGATGGTCATCTTCAAGCAGAAAACTTTATCCAAAGAAAAGTTTCCCTACGGCGTGATCATCTAGGCGAACCCGAAGGGCTGGATGGATGAGGACATGATGGCGGCGTGGCTGTGGGAGGTGTACACCAAAAGACGGGACGGCTTCTTCCACACTTCTCCAGCCATGCTGATTTGCGACTCCATGCGGGCCCATCTCACCGACGCTGTTAAAATCCAGGTGAAGAGCATGAATAATGGAGCTCACCATCATATCGGATGGATTAACCAAAGAACTCCAGCCGCTGGACATCGGGGTTGATTGGCTGTGCGCCCTTTAACTCGGACGCTGATTGGTTGTGCGCCCTATAATCAGGTGAGCCTTATGGTGCGGAAAATATGGTATCTCTATCTGCTCTTTAAGGTTAACTATGGAACACGGACGATCTGGTGGACTCTGGTGTTCAGAGGTGGTAATGCAACAACAGGACTCATTTTCCATCTGCTGGGATGTTGGTTCACAGCTGACACGTTCCAGCACCATGTTCAGAGACAAATCGTACAGGATAAGGACTAGTTTCTTCTAATATGTTTATTTTACATCAGTATTTACCGCTGGAACATCTTCTGGGCTCAGAATCAGCTGCTTGACTTGTGTAGTCTGCCATTTTACACAGTCCCAACCTTGCCTTGCTGAGCAGACTTTTTACAGTACCCTCTAGTGGCTGGTAGACGTAAACATAAACACAGTGTCGTGCCCGACTAAATAAAAATTTGGCAATTTATCTTTTTAAATATAGCTTTTAAAGGAGAAACTGTACATCCATTCTGCACACCTCTGAACGCCCTGCAGGTGTCTTTTTAAATATAGCTTTTTAATAAATGTTCCATATTGTAACTTTAAGTCAACAAAGCCCAAGTCTAAATAGTTTAAAGTTGATGCCAAAGCCATTTCAAATGAGTCATCGCCATCTTAGTTGTTCCGCTCTGTCACATCATCCCACCGACCAAACCGATAAAGTGCCTTGATTGGCCGACCAAACCGATAGAGCACTATGATAGGTAAGACACAAGACTGTTCAAGCCAGCTGAGGCTCCAATGGCATGTGGCTAGACTGACATCAGAGCAAAATCATTTAGCTTTTGCTACAATCTTTCTAGATTTCTAGGCCACGCAAAACAATAATATTTACCATAATAGCGCCCTTAAAATGATATTGTCCTGGTAAACAACCAAGTACACCTAGTCCTTACAAGCTTGTTACCGATTCACCACGGTGTCAGCTTGAACATCGGGATCCCACAACGTCGGTACCAATTGCTACCACCACAACACATGGAGAACGCCCTAGGTGTGTAACATTGTTGACACTAGAGATCCTGAGTCGGTAAGAAGCACTGCAAATAAAACACAGCTTTGATGATCACATGGTCGCGTTATCTGAAACCGCTTTGAGTCAGAAAATGACAGATTGTTCAGCCCTCCTTTTTTAACCATTTTTCCTGCTCCAACTAATTTACATAATTGAATATTTTTTGGCAGTCCATCATTCATTGAACTGTTAATACTTGCTGAGAAACCAGAATAGAGTTCCTCTTTCTTTCTTTCCTCCACCTAAGTCGAGACTATACCCTCCTTGAACACTGCAAAGCTTCTTAAATTTATTGACGGTCTTCTGCTGCATTGTGAGTTATTTTGACAGTCCCTTACTCTGTATTCTGTCTTAGTCTGAGTATCTGCTGCTGACTTGAGATGGCTGGTGATTGCCTGAGGGCTTTGGGCATACAGGCACCTGGCTTTAAAGGCAACCCATCAGAAAGAGAGAGTCATTTATCTGGTGTCAGCTTTGCCAAGTTCAAAGACGAGACTAAGTGGTCGAGAGGAGTTGAGCAAAAGTAGGTAGGAAGAGAGATGGACTGTATAAAATGTATTTTAGGGGAAATATGTCATCCTTGATCTCTATTGTTAAACATTTTGGTTTATAATATTTATTATTCATCTTGTGTGCTGTTAAGTAGCATTTGGTTGAATGGCAGCTGAAAAAGAACAAGTCCGGTTTGCTTTTATGCAAGAACTGTTTTAAATACGGTCTTTTCACGGAGAGATTTAATACCTTCAGGATGTGATGTTTTTGTGGTTTTCTTCACACCCCAAGCAAGTCTTTTGCATCCTTTCTTTGAGCCCAGGGGAACTCGTTGTTCTCCAAGTGCATGCGATGCTCTGCAGACATCAGTGGCTCCCCAAGGTAGCAGCACAAAGGAAGATTAGGCACCCACCTTCCAGGCTTTTCTTGTTAAGTAGTTCCACATCTGCTTCAATAATTCATGGCGACTTGAGCAGAGCCGTCATTTGAAAGATATATGATAATACTATGGTCTCCATATGCTGTAAAGAATAGGCATGCTTCTAGGGAAACGTTTTCACACTAAAGGTTCCCACCGCAAAGGTGTTGAGATTCCGTGTGTGTGTTTGTTTTTGTATGCATATGCACGAGGCACATGGGCTGCACTGTACTGCCACTCAGATGTAACACGAAGCGGCGTTGTACCCTTGCCACTAAAGCACCTGTGGGACTCGAGCCCCGATGAGCCACCTGTCTGAGTTTTTGATTTCTGCTTGTTCTTGCTTATGAAATAAACATCACACAGATCTGTCTCTGAAGGAGCAGAGTATCGGAGTCGTCTGCAGAGAGCATCCTCGTATTTCACAGGGGGCCAAAGCTCACATGCAATGGCCTTTTACTGAAAATAAAACCAGACCTTATTTGGTTCTATATTGTTTAAATATTATTTGGACAGGTATACTGGACACATCAGCCTTTTGATGTATTTTTTTTTCCAAATGGCCCTTGAGAAGCACATTTTTCTCCTTCCCTTTAAGTTTATTCTCCCTCCCTTCTCCTCTGTTGCACCTGTTTTGAGCGATACCTTTGGGCAACAGCTTGAAGTGAATAATGTATAAGCGAGAATGAGAATCAGGAAACCTTTGTGGAGCTTCAGTCTGGCTGACTGTTTTCCTGTACTTTAGTCTATATTACAAGCTATGTCCTTTTTTTTCTCCTTCTTTTAGTCTGATATTAAACTTAAATCCGTGTGCTTTTCTTTCCTGCAGTGAAGTTTATCAGCTGTGGTCGAGGCGATCTGGTGCGGTTTGAATGCAGTAATCCATCTGACTTTCGGATAGAGGCCAACGGAGTCGTTTATGCTGCAAGGACTCTTCAGGACACTCCAGTCCTCGCGTCACCTTTGCTGATCACAGCTGTTGACACTACCACTCAGCAGCAATGGATGACCCGGGTCAAAGTGACGTTTCCCACACAGGTGAGTACATCTCAGCCTCTTTGCAACGTTCGGACTTGTCTGATTGGTGTCTGATCTTACTGACATTTCAAATAACAATCAGTTTTGCTCCTACATCAAATATCTTATTAGGCACACTCCATATACTGTACACAGGTGACTGCTTTCCTAATATGCAGCAGGTGTTGTATGAGACTGGATAGGTGCATGCTAATAAAAAACGGTGCATGTTGAAATTTCTGAGGTCAAGGCCCTGTCGCCTGCAAGAGTTTACTTCCTTTCGGATCTTTGGCAGACTGGAAGCATCTGTCTGAGCTTCAGCGAGCCCCTCAAATCGCTCTGCTGGCTACCTTCAGCAGTCATCTGCATTTAGTTAAAGTGACCATGTGTTCACATGTCAGCATTGCAGCTGGATGAGGATCAGAGGAACTGCACAAAAACAAAGAATGCACTTCCTTTGTAATGACTGTCTACCTTGAGGCTTAGGGAAAAACGGCAACGAGGGTGGTGTTTTGTAGAAGTTGTAACTACAGTTAAAGACTATGAATTATGTGATGATATATACAGATTAGTGCTCAGCAATGGTACACACACAAATACACCCATGCTGTTTCCAGCTGTGTATTACTTTAATTTCACTGCTTTCTTTGGGGATGAATGGCACTTTTATTTGCATATGTTGGTGAGTATTGCTCTTGATTTCAAATCTTTACATTTTGGTGTCTTAATGAGCACCAACAAATGCACTAATGATTCTTGTTTTACAAAGAACAGCATACTTTTCTTTTTAAAGAGCAAGTCACCCCCAAATCAACTTTTTTCCCCCTGATAAACTATATAAATGTCTAATCGTGCTGCAGAAGCTGTAGTCAATAGTTTTGCACTTTAGTGCATTTTATTTGAAATTTAAAATTTCTGCCTAAATCTGTCGGTGCTGCGCCATTGTCAAGTAAAAACTGCACTGCATTTTAATTTAAATCTGCCATCGCTATTGGCTAAGAGGTACCCTAGGACGTTAGCTGGTACCATATGATGTCACAATGTCGTTGTGAGTGTGTGTGTGTGTGTGTGTGTGTGTGTGTGTGTGTGTGTGTGTGTGTGTGTGTGTGTGTGTGTGTGTGTGTGTGTGTGTGTGTGTGTGTGTGTGTGTGTGTGTGTGTGTGTGTGTGTGTGTGTGTGTGTGTGTGTGTGTGTGTGTGTGTGTGTGTGTGTGTGTGCGTGCGCGTGTGTGTATTTGTTAGCGGCTGCACCCTCTCGGTCTGCTAGGCAACAGCATGTGTTGCATTTTTCAAACAGGAAGTGGGAGTGGAGTAATACTCTGGTAGGGGGTGACTTGCTCTTTAAATCCTTATTATATACTTGTACAAGTGGTTACTGAGGGATGTTTCTGGATGCGAAAGATAAAATCAGGAAGAATGAGTCATTTATTTTATATAAACTACAGATTTAAAGTCAATACTGATGGTTGGTCATTTCATTTAACTTAAACTATTGCTGGAAAGTGTTTTTAGACGTTTTTATCGTTCTTAGAGCTGACCGTAATTATCTACTAAAAACAATCTATCATGTACTTGTCGCTTTAGCTAAGTCAGTGTTTATTGTTCTGAGTAGGGTTGGGTGATATATAGAAAATTCATATCACGACATAAATGTTCATATCGGTCAATATCGATATTTATCACAATATAAAACAAAGTGTTACTTTTATCAATCTTGAAAGTTCTTTGGTATGTTTTGAATGAGATTTGAAAATGTTTATTTATTTATTTAAAGGTTTACTTTTAAATGATGAACATGTCATCAAACATTATATTATATTTTGGATTCATAAAATCACTAATTTTAAACTAAAATCTTTAAGCGTTGGAGGAGAATATACCTCAATAAAACAGGCATCGGTATATACATTTAAAAAATGCCCGTTTAAGCAATTTAAATAAATAATATACAAAAAGAATGTTTTACATCAGTGAAATTTTTAACTTTATAAGAAAATCAAAACAATAGAAGACATCTACGCTCAGAAAGAACAGACATTTTAGTTCTATTTATCCTCTGTACTCGCTGTAGCAATCTATTGTGCTGGGATCGATTGGTTTTGTCTGTCGATCTTTGTGTGTTTGGTCTTTCTTCTAGTTGAGTACGTTTTGAAAAGAAGACATGAATTAAATGTTATTTGCATGGTGGCTAAAGTAAATTTCTTCAAAGTTGCTCATGTCTGGGATTATGAAGTTCTACATCCTGCTGCTCCAGTGGGTGGAACTGGTTTATGAGCTCAAAAGGATCTGTGGTTTCTCTGACTTTGTCACAACCTGAGCTCAACACCGTTAACATCGCAGTTATGATGTTAGCCAAACTACGTCCACGCCATTGAACTGTTCAGCCCCTTATTTTCAGTTACATCATTTACTTTGTCCTCCATCTTCTTTTTTGTCATCCAGGATGCTCTTTTTTTCTCCAGCGTTTACCAGCCATGTAACTTGTTACCTTTATTAGGATGTTTAAGGTACACAAACATTAACGTATAGCACCACATTTTTTTCTGCCTACTACCGAACCATGTGGCTCAACTGTTTATATCGAAGTTCTATCGATCCTTTCTCAAGTCTTTTGAGGAAATTTTATTTTTGTAATAAATATTATAGTTCTAATGCCCAGCCCTAGCTCTGAGTTGGCCAAAGATTGTGAGTTAGCAGCTCTAAGTGTCTCCTTGATGCTTCATCTGTGTACAAAATCTCAACTTGATTCTTTATTGTTTCAAAGTTGTTGGATTAGTCCTGATTTGTTTCTAATGAATTCAAAGATTGACTTCTCTCTATCTCGAGTGTTTATGAGGTCACGAGTGCTTATCTATCTCCTCCAGCACATTTCATGTCATCAATCAGTGCACCACTTAATCACATCAGCAGTTGTGTTTTTTAAGGCACCATTAATGCACCAGCCTTGGAAAACATTTTAATTAATGACAGCCAAAAAAAAATCTCCTCATTAACATAAGTTTGAACCTTCTTGGCTACGATCTCCATCTTTGAAACGTTTGCTTTTGCATCACATTCTGAGAGGAGAGATTATGTCAGGAACTGAAAGACTCATTTCTTTTTTATTCCAAAAGGGCAAATGCACGCACACGTAATTCTTCCTACACACTTCTAAACACTAAGGCCATCACTCAACACGGCACTCTCTGAGACTCTGAAGTAATCTGAAGATGGAGAGTGTTTGCAACATGAGGATGGGTGCAGACCTCCAGCGTATCAGAGACCGATTTTTATTTTTATTTTTTGGGTTGAGCAAACCCACCATGCCATTCTTCATTCCAGATGCAAGTTCCAAATAATTACTGGTCTCACTTGCAGCCATTTTAATAGGGTAATAGATATTTCTCAGGCATGTTCCGTCACTATCTGGTCTCTTGCCTCTGCATTTTGAACGCGTGAAAGCAGTATAATCGGATTTCAAACATGATTAGTGGAAGCTCTTTGACAACTCCCCAGATGTTTGAGGAGGGGGATTGTGGGATCTGAGTCATACGAGTCATGTTATAAGGTGAAAACGGGGTAATTAATTTCTGTGTTTGCACAAGGCACTTTGCAGTCTGTAACAGTTAGCTGCCTAACAAGCTGTCAACATTTAGACAACGCTAAAAGAACGTGTCAGTTTAAGAATAAAAGTTTATTCTTTTATTTGCCATATGACATTATTTATAAACCTTCCATACCTGTTTTTCCTTCCTCCTTTATTTTTTCAAGAGTATTTTAACTTTTTTTCTTGGCAGTACTTCAGTGTTCTTAGCCTCTGAAGCCGCATAGGTAATTTGGACCATGTGCGTGTATAGAGTCTGGCTTTCAGGTTCCGTCCTCCTTTGTTTCAAATCTTATTCATTACAGCTGAGGGAGGATGGCAGATCCATTGTGGAAGCTGGTATATCTGTGTGGGTGTGTTTTATCAGCACATAAGAAGAAATCTGCCATTTTAAACTAACCAGTGTTGGAAGAGTACGACTAAAGAGGCAATTCCGAGGAGTTTCAAGGCACACGGTCATGTGTGTTGTGTTGATTTAAAGCTACAAAGACAGTCAGAACAGACAATTGGAATCTGTGTATACTGGATAACATTTGAAAATGTCAGTCTATTTTTTTAGAATCATAATAATTTCCTTAATTATTAACCTTTTCGAAAAGGATTATTGGTTGGCTTGTGGTGTTGGTCTTTGCAGTAAGGTCAGGTTTTATTCTCACAGGTACATTTCTAATGTTTGCATACTAATGTACTCACAGTGGCAGTACTAATAACTTGTTGCTAAGCAGATTTTTTTTTTACCCTAATGGTGGGTAATAAAAAAAATCCCGATACTTAGGTCAGTGAAAAATGGTTAGCAAGGATAATAGTAGACTTTAAAATGTTAGTGGGTGCGTGCTTGTGTGTGGTGGTAGGAAAGAGGCTGGAAAAGGGAGAAGCAATATTTAACAAAAAGCACAAATGCATTCAAGAGACACGTACTTTACAGAAACTGTGGAATATTTATGATTTGCAGATTTTTTTTTTAGGTATCTTAATGAAGCATTGGATGTTCTGTTGAACCGAACACTTTATTTTGTGCATTTTTTAATCCAACCCAAGTATTATTGCTTAAAGGTGCAATATGTAAGAGTGTAGCTAGAATGGCATCTTGTGGTCAAATGTGGTTACTGCAATCCATTTTTCTAAATGATAAATGGCCTGCATTTGATATAGTGCCTTCTAGAGTCCTGGAACCCCCCAAGGTGCTTTACAACACAATCAGTCATTCACCCATTCACACACGCATTCACTCTCTGGTGAGCTACAATGTAACCACAGCTGCCCTGGGGTCAATCAAAAAGGTGCCATGGCTTTTTAGGTTTACAAGAAATAACTTCTAGGCCGCTCCTGTTTACTGGCTCCAGTTCTTTAAACTACTCTGGAGTCTTTAGTTGGCTGGTGTCAAATTACAAGTGCTACCACTGTAGCGTTGGCTCAGCGCAGACTTGACAACCTACGTCCCTCTTTAGTTCTTTTGAAAGGAGAAAAACTGACAAGCCCCCAGCCAGCTAAGGAAGTCTGTTTAAATGTAACCCTTTCAAAATTATTTAAACATTAGACAGTTTTCACTTCTTACATATTGCTCCTTTAAATGTGTCTATACTCTTGAAGATGCCAATATTTTTCTTTAATATTGTTGAGGCTTTTTAACCTGCCACATAGCTAGGTCAACTTTTCAAATGGGCAAAAAATAAACACCACAAAGTCAAATTCTATAACCACTCATCACATGTTAATCATAGCTTTGAGGAAATAAAGCATCTCACCATTTTCTGACCCAAGTTAAATGATTACAAAAACAGTAATTTATTGCAAAAGGACCACAAATGTGGGTATCACATGTTGTGGGATCTTGTAGTTGTTCAGACCACAAACCACCAATGTCACAGTGGTGGTGGAGGTGCCATGAGTCAGTGGATTTTGTGGAAATTTGTTGTAGGGCTATTTCTGTCCGTGGCAAACCAGCCCACAGATCAGCATCGCCTGCCCCCTAGTTCTACCTCCAGGGCATCTAAAACTCTGCCTCCCTGCATATCAAGATCACTAAATCATTCTCTTTTGCCAGGTCCAGGAACGTGCTCTCCCTCCAGTTGTGTCCGAGAGTCTGAGGGAAATAGCCTTTCCACCTCAAAAAGTGGAGAGCCAACTGAAACGCATGAAGAGAGACTGGGTCATTCCTCCAATCAATGTCCCAGAGAACTCACGAGGCCCGTTCCCACTAGAGCTTGTTCGGGTAATGTCTTTGACTCAGCCGCCTGCATATACACAGACATCAGTCTTCCAGCTTCAAAGCACACACACTTTTCTGCTTGATAGGACATTTTTGCAGGCTGCCTATTGTCCTGAACTCAACTCGGGGCAGCAGGGAGCAGAGAGACATGAGTCTTGTCTTAACGTTTAGAACACCCACCCCTTCTTTTTTCCTAGGATGGTCTGCACTATTACAGTATATAGAAGCAGCAATAGTCTGAAAAGTACAGCAGAATAATTGTTTAATGGTTGACTTTAATATTTTCTACTTTCATCCATGGCTCAAGGAGTGTTGCAGCTCAATTTCTTAGCAACAGCTCTGCTCAGGGCTAGGTGTGTGTGCCAAACAGAGGACAGGAAATGTTTGGGACGGCTAAGAAGTCGATCCCTTTTCAGCACATTAAGCTTACCTCCTTACTCTCTGCTAAATCCTATGATATCAATATATGTTCTTATTTATAATCTGCCATATTTGAAAGGATGCGTCACAGCTACAGTGGGTGATATCAGGAAGGAGAAATGGACGGTTTGCTCAGGATGGATCATGGGTGTGTGCTCAGAGGGTCTCGGCTTACATGGACAGGCAGTCCAACTATGACAGAACTTCAATACTATGTGGACACTTATTACACACTTTGTTGTGCTTGTACAGCAACTGACTTTTCAAGTAGTAACGTATTGGTTTAGGAACAAGATTAGATGTCATAAAGGGGTGTTAATTTGGTTAATCCTGAACGATGATGTCATGTTGAAACTTTGTATGCACAGATTCGATCAGATCACGACAAAAACCGCTCTCTGCGGTACAGTGTGACCGGCCCAGGTGCTGACCAGCCTCCAACTGCGATCTTCACCATTGACCCCATTTCTGGAGAGTTGTCGGTCAACAAACCCCTGGATCGGGAGCTAATCTCTAGCTTCCATGTGAGTCAAACACAGCACTCTTTGAAAACCTTCACTCTTTAATGAATTCCTTTGGATTTGAAACATTTCTTTGTGTTTTATCTTTTTTTTTTAATCAAGAAAAATGCATTCTTGTTGGCAGTGTTTTACTTTCCTGGCTGTTGGCATGCACTCAAGGTCACATGTAGCCTAAACAGTCTCTTTAGACTCAATAAAGACTAGAGTCTCCCTGGAAATCTGACTTATCCGTCTGAGAATTTAAAGGATTTTGAGAGATTCATGTGTTGGATACATGAACATAACCCTGAGCTTTGAAGCAGTTAAATTATTCCTGTTTTTCATTTCAATACATTAAAATGTTTTGAAATTTTAGAATATTTTCCCCAAAATAACTTTTTTATTCTGTGTAAAATAGAAATCAATAATTGGTCTATTCTTAATATTTTTATTTTTATTTTTGCCACAATAAGGACATAACTATGCTTTGCTTAAGATTTTATTGTGTGATATTGCATTTGTGTTAGCTCATGCCTTCATATGCTATAGTTAATTGGCTAGCAGAGATTTATGAGGTATGAGTGTTTATAAAGTGAGAATAAATGCATTTCAAGAGGCCTTTGTTGTTTTAAAATATGAGACGGTATCATTAGTGTTAGATGACAGAATTAATGTGATGGTAATAATGCAATATGAATCAACCTGGATTGTATCAGCTTTTAAAAGCCTCATTAATAATACATTTAGACCTTATTATTGTGTTGTTGACTGTGGCAGGCATCTAGCTACATGACTCATCATTTATCATGTACAATATTCATGCATCACTAGCGGTGCAAAAAATATCCCTTTTGGTCCCACTAGTTTGGATTAAAGATGCTTTTGTTGTCGTTTGTACTTTTAGAAGCCCGCAATTAACGGATTGGGGATGCTTGTTATTTTTATGTATTTATTTATTTTTTGTTGTTGTTGTTTAAAGCTAACAGTAGCCCTGGCTTTTTGTTTGTTTTCCTCCAGTTGAGAGCCCATGCTGTAGACCTGAATGGCAACCAGGTTGAAAACCCAATCGATATTATGATCAATGTGATTGACATGAACGACAACAGACCTGAGTTCACCCATCAAATCTGGAATGGCACTGTTCCAGAAGGCTCCAAGCCAGGTGAGATCTTGCGTAAAACCTCTTGTCCTGCATGCGCATCAATTCATACTGATGTAATCTGTCAAAGGACCTCATTTAAAAGAGGTGACCAGGGTTGGTGACTAGATGAGTTTATCGATAATTGACCTAGTAAGAGCACAGGTTTTTATGCCTATGAAATAGTCTCACGGATGGGACATTGCATACTTCCAGGTTAAACCAGCATCTTCTTTGCAACACTTTCTATGTGCATATTGATATTATACATCATTAGAAAGCTGGGATTCCTGTCATTCCAAAGATAAAGGGATACGACCATAACTGGAGACCTCGTCAGTCTTTTTAGATCCAAAAGGGTCCATAGTTAACGAGGCTTAAACCACCGAAACCTTTCAAATTTCTCTTTATATTTGTCCCTTCCACAACATAATTTCTGGTAGAATTGTCATACTTGCTTCAAACTTTTAGTTGGAATATTGCCTGATCTGACAGGTGAGGGGTTATCCCCTCTGCTGACGCAAAACCTTCATCTATTGGCCAATAGGTCCGAAGTGCCACCCCATATCCTCAATTATGTAGCCTGAAGCAATTGCCATGTAGTACTTGTTTACTGATGCATCAAAGAGCCAATGAAATTCAGAAAACAACAATCTCACACATGATTGTCTTGTCGTCTGCTACTGCAAACTGATTATGAACGCTTGTGATTGGTGGATTCCTGGACTGACTGATATCAGTTGGAAAAATGTTACATATCACCCAAACTTGGAGATGACATACTACTATTTACATATTATGTCCTTTTTCACTGTCCTAAAGGAACATTTGTTATGACTGTAACATCTGTGGACAGAGACGACCCCAAAACAGCCAATGGTATGCTTCGTTACAAGATTCTGTCTCAGACTCCGGAGAGTCCGACCGCCAACATGTTCACCATCAACAATAAAACCGGAGGCATCATTACAGTGGCAGCAGGCCTGGACAGAGAGGTACTCAACACTTTTTTGGGGTCATCTTTGGTTTTTTCCATTCTTGTTTTTATGATTTAGCTTTCTCTACCAAACTCAGCCATTAGCTAATGTTCTGTCTTCCAATTGCTTCTTGCTCTATTAACAAATTATTTCCCATTTTTGCATAAACAGACCGTGGGTTTTTAAAACTGTTGACAGCTTGAGTATCGTCGCAATATTCATACAGTTTGAGAACTAATGAGCCGAAGTAAACACTTCTTATTACCACCAAAATGAGAAATAGAAGTGGACTTGGCTGTTTCACACTTATTTACTCTTACAAGGAGGCATTGTGCATCGCTGAGCAGCTAAATGTTTCTCTTCCCCCATCCTCGCATTGTTTTGTTTTTTTTCTATTTATTTATTTAAAAGCTTTTTGCATCTTCTTCCTCTCCATTTTTCATGTTACCGCTCTTTCGTTAAATTGGGATCGCACGGCTGTTTGAGAAAAATAAATAAAATGGTGTATGCCGCCGGAGCTATCCGGTTCAATTCTAGTGAGGGCAATCTGGCATGGTGGCTGCTCAATCACTCCCACCCTGAGGCCACCGTTTTATGTCCTCAAGTTGCCACCATGAAAGTAATTTGCCTGACTCTCATTACCTAGCAACTGGTCCATCACCTGAGCGGCTTTTAATGTGAAAAGAATAATTTGTCCTCTTTACGATTGTACTCATTGCAGAGGTATGCCTTTCTATGGAATGCCAAGTGTAAAATGCTGATGCAAATTGTTTAGCACGCATTTTTTGAATATTTAAGAATTTTTTCCTACATTTAGCAACTTTGATCACATTTAAAATAATGCTTAAATGTCACATAATTTCAGCAAATCTAAATGTTAAATCTAAACTTAAATGTTAAATATGTATCTAAATCAGAATTTTAAATAAACAAGTTAAACCAAAATCTAAATACTAAATCTACACTTAAATCTAAATGTTGAGCATAGATGTTAAATCTAAATGTAAATCCAAATCTAAATGTTAGGTCTAAATCTAAAGATTTAACATCTACACTTAACATTTAGATTTTAGTTTAGATTTAGCATTTAGATTTAGATTTAACATTTAGATTTAACATTCTGATGTCAAGTCTGCTAAATAATCTGCACCAGCATTTTACACCCCATCCCATACTTTTCACACACAAACTCATGATAACCCAAAAGGAAGAAGGCAGCTTTATATTTAAAGTGACAATCAGTATAAGTAAAAATGAAACTAAAGTTAAATAAAACACACACACACACACACACACACACACGAGTGTGTGTATGGGTTATTATTATTATTATTATTATTATTATTATTATATATTCATTTTTTTTCATTGTTTCTTGTTCTCTAGAAAGTGCCTCAGTACACACTGATCATCCAGGCTACTGACATGGAGGGCAACCCGACGTTTGGCCTCTCCAACACAGCCACCGCCGTCATCAGAGTCACTGACATTAATGACAACCCCCCAGAGTTTACAGCAGAGATGGTAAGAAACAAGCTCATGTCTGAGACGTCAACACAGTAGTCTCCACTTTACAGTAGCATCACAAGGACCCCAATTTCACCCTAGTGAGGATATATGCACTCATCTGTCAGTTCTGCTCACTTACCTGGTTCTGCTTGCCCTGCACTTCTGGGACCATACACGTATACAAGTCGCCAGCCATGTGCAAAGTGTTATATCCCACTTCAAATGTTGACACATGCAACTATGGGGATGTCTGTTTCCGTGAAAGAGGCACTTACTGTGCTTGCAAATCACTGAAATTTGTAATGCTTGCTGTTGTGCTATCAGGGAAGCACAGCAAGAAAAAGATGACCATGGCAACATGATAAGTTACCTTAGATGTCTGTTTACCCATGATTGGTCCTGCTGTGCTGTGCGAGCCAGGGCTTGGTGTGCTTTTTTATTTATTTATTTTGTTACCGTCGCAGCAGCATCACTTAACAGCTCGCTGTTCTTTTTTGCATCATGGTTTATTCATGCAGTTTTTTGGGGAGGTGCCTGAAAACCGCGTGAACGTTATTGTGGCCAACCTGACGGTGACTGACAAGGACCAGCCAAACACACCCGCCTGGAATGCCGTCTACAAAATCACCGGGGGCGACCCCACTGGCAGGTTCTCGGTGCCCACTGATCCGACTACTAATGAGGGGCTGGTAACAGTTGTCAAGGTAAGACTTCCTCCTCGAAGCCCACCCTTTAATCACGTCCGCATCAGAGAATATTCAGAACACAATGAGTTCAGTGAGCGTGAACGCCTCTCAAATGTCACTAATTAACGAAGGCAGCAAACTAATGAACTTTTTATGATTCCCGTTGAAAAAAATGTGTTTTGTTTCTTTAAAAACTGGAAATGAAGGTTTCCAACACAAAATCAACATTTGTTTAAAAAACTTTTCTAACTATTTTGATTTAAGGCCACATTTCAGATAACATAAAATAGTTGTGCAGCTCTTCACAAGCTTTTTTATTTGTGTCCTTGAGTGGATCACTAAAGGATTGAGTCTTTTTTGCTGAAGTATTCTTCAAGCTGAAGGGGACAATATTTGTGTGCTCTTCTCTTGATTACTGGAAAGCAACAAAAAAAAAGCGTTGTGATTCACTTTCTCACATTTTCTTACTCACCCTTGTTGCTCTCTCTGCTCTGCTCCCAGCCTATTGATTATGAAATCAGTAGAACATATGTGCTAACGGTGGAAGCCAGGAACGAGGTTCCGTTGGCCAGAGGCATTCACCCTCCCAGGCAGTCCACTGCCACCGTCTCCATCCGGGTAATTGATGTCAACGAGAGCCCTTACTTCGACCCCAACCCTAAACTAATTAAACTGGAAGAGGGGATGATGCCAGAGTCGACGCTGACCACTTTTACCGCACAGGATCCTGATCGCTTCATGCAGCAATCCATCAGGTAAGGCAGTAAACAGTGAAATGAGAACTGTGCGGCTGAAGTGTCACACATTAAATATAGTCTCAATCTCACAGATACGCAATACCAACGTATTTATTCAGCACTCCATCTTTTTCCACTTGCATCACTACAGCTTCTCAATTAAAATTAGAAGAGACAAGCCCCATCATTCTAAAAGCATCACTATAATCAACTTAAGTGCAACACTTGCAGGTTTCGTCCAACTTAAACTCACTGATGAATGAACTATTTAAGGAACGGAACTTTATTAGAGTAAATATTTTTAAATGAGAGGTCAGTTGAATTTCTTACATAACAGAGATTGGTTTGTTATTTATACTCATTAGGAGTGAAGTGAAGAGTTAGCTGTTTTATTTTTAGGTAATAGTTAATTGGTTGAAAAATCTTGGGATGGGGGGGGGGGGGGGTGTCAAGAAGTTTATGGTTTTGCTTTATTTTCCTAACTGATATAAACTGCCTATTCCAGATATTATCCTTAGCTGAACTTTGAGAAGGTCTGCTGAATGTTCCGCTTTGAAAAAGGATCCATTGGTTCCAAAGAACAGAGGAAAGCAAAAAGTACAGTAGACACAGATTAATGAAAGCTTGCACAGCCTGGATCAGTCCCCATGTTATGATGTTACAAATAATACATGTTAACACACCTACACACACATGTTATGGATAAATAAATCTTCTACTTCTCATTTGTTTATTATTTATGCAAAAACGATAATGAGCAGCCAATGTGTCTTTCATTTATCCTCACTTGTCCTAATGATAAGAACTGTTTGGCTTTTGAATTGTTTGTCTATCTGAAAATAGTCTGAGAAATTGTAGATTACATTGAGACAGTCGTATAAAGAAGCCGGTTTTCTTCTGTGAGGTTGCTCTCCGTGCAAAAATCTGAGCATGGACACTGCATTTTCTGCAGGAAGTATACTATTTTGACTCTAACGCCCCCCCTCCTCCATCTCAGGTACTCTAGACTCTTCGATCCAGCCAACTGGCTCAGGATTGACCCGAACACCGGTCGGCTCACGACCATTGCCGTTTTGGACCGAGAGTCTCCTTACGTGAAGAACAGCTTGTACAATGCCACATTCCTGGCCACTGACAGCGGTATGTAAGCATTCAAGTGCTCGTGCCGTTTCCAAAAATGCCTCGTTGAGCTTTTGTGATGCCACTGGTTACATGGTCTGGTCATTTTAGGCAGACTGTTACAAAAGCACCTTTTTATTGCCGTTACCACCCAAGCACTCGGAACAACCTAATGTTTCTTTTTTTTAAAGAAAAGAGAGTCTGAAGGATGTGTGATTTAGCCTAGCTCTTGAAGGTCAGTCTTCCTCCTAGAATCCTCGTTGACTACTTTTTAATGTTTTCCACCTGAGGCTAATTCAGAAAAGCACCATATCTGGTGCAAAAATGCCCCGTGAGCCTGAAGGGCGACCAGACATCCAGTGTTTGCCAAGTCTGCAATGCTGACCACCTCAGTTGAAGGTTAATATGCGAACAATCACAGAATCATCCAACGTGGGGATGTTTTCACCTTTTGTCTGCACTGGAGGGATTTACCTCTGTTCAGGTTTACCCTGTTCTATGGGGCACAGCTTAGGCCAAGAGGCTTAAAAACTCCGCCAATAAAGAGGTTTCTCAGCATTAATGGGTCAGGATTGGATGACTAGCTCCTTTGAGCGTGGCCTGAATGGTAAAAAAGCCTCTTAGCTGAGTGAATACATAGAGAAGCCCTAGTGGGACGACAGTGGGCTCTGTTTGTCTGCTTTAGTATTCTGATCTCGTGTCCTTCGTCAGGAAGACGTTCTTCAGTAACACAAACAAACACACTCACACACCGAATGTTCTCATATGCAACTCTTTCTTTCCACCTCCTCTCTTGAGATTAGATTCTCAGATCAGTATGCAGTTTCTATGGGACTCCTCCCTCTGGGGTAAATGGTTATTTAGAAGAGACTCCCTACTTCAGTTTTCTCTTCCGTCTCTCTGATTATTTCAAAATAAGATCCAGCATTTCGGTTGCACATATTTCTTTCCAAATGTAAATTTTGGGGGGATTTCTCATAAATACGTACTATGTGTGATGAGTGTGTGTGTGTTTTGTTTTTCTTGCACAGGTAATCCACCAGCAAGCGGCACAGGAACTCTCCAGATCTTCTTGCAGGATATCAACGACAACGCACCCAAAGTGTTCCCTCAGGAAAAAGAGATTTGTGAAAAGCCGGAGCCGAACGCCATCAACATCACCGCCGTGGATGGGGACCTGAGCCCAAACGCCGGGCCTTTCGCCTTTGAGTTGGCTCACCGGCCGTCTGAAGTTAGAAGGAACTGGACTATAACAAGAATCAGTGGTAAGATACAGATCACTGTAGGACGGGTTTTCAGTATTGGAACTTCAGGGTACTCTTTTTCAGGACCCAACAAAATACTCAAACAGGATTAGGTACTTGGAAATGGCCGGTAGAGGCGCTGAGTGAAACTTTTGGTTTAGTGATCGGTTGTACCCAGTGCTTTAAGTGGTTCTACTTTTGACCTCTCAGCACACCAGGACTTTTTTTCCTAGGGTACAGTGTGTACCGGTCATTTTTCCGGTCATTTATTCGTCGAAATCTTTCAAAGTTCTGGGAAAATACCTGTCTGTCCTCAAACACCAGCCATACACAGTCCCCCCAACAACGACGTAATTCATGGGGCGTTGTTGTCTCGCAGAGCGCCGTCAAAAATTACACTTCCTCTGGTCATTGAACTCAACAGTTAACACGCACACACGCATCATTATCACACAGCAGTTCTCCTGGTCCTCCGAGTGGATAAAACTGCTGTACTTGGACAAAATGAAACTTTGAATGTAACTGTGGGCGTTTTTTGGCGCTGATCAGTGACATCACTGACGTCTGCGCAAAGCCCTGAAATGGCTGAATTTCATCTTATCTCCCGGTCAGTTTCCCCCTCCCAGACTTTACCCTGAAGTTCCGACAGTGGAAACACACCTAACAAATTCTAGTCCCGATTCAAACTGCGCCAGTTGTCCTGTTCTAACCCTTCTCCTGGGTAATAAGATTAAACTAATCTTCAATTTGCAATTACCAGGAAATAAGAGATGATTCAGCTTCTTTCGCCTTTACTTTTCCATGTTTATTACTAATAAAAAATGGGGTTTGTTTAACTTTTTCATTTTTGCAAATATTTGATAATTAAGCAGAAAAGTTTAGAATCTAAAGCGACGCGTACAGCACTCAGTGCTTTTAGTCGTTAAAGCTTCACAAGATTAATCTATAATAAGCCCCAGCAACTCTGAAACGTGTTCAAATGTGTGTAAACAGCACGCTATAGATGTGTCAGAGTTAAGAGACGCGGCTTAATAATCTATTAATCTTGCCAAACAGTCATTAATTATTTATGCTAATTTGAAACAAAACCACGAGTGGAGGGAACTCGCTGGTTGTGTGTTTGCTGCTGGTGTGAGTTTGAAACACAGCAAATAAATCTTAATAGGATAATGGCGTTTGGATTATCACAGCTGGGAATTTAGCCTAAGAAGCATTATCAAAAAGGCATTCAGAAAATTTATAAGCTTCAAATCCAAATCCGGACAATGTTTTGGATTAGATATGCTGATGCAACTTCCAGGTAGGACTTCACACTCCATGTTTGTGATAAAAGGAGTGTAATCGTGGTGAGAGCAGCATCTGTGCAAGTTTGGATTAAATCCCCCCTGGAATAAAAGAAATTATTTCTGAAACAAATAGTGTTAATTTATATGAAAACATGATGAGTCACTTAATCTGCAGAGTCAAACTTTCAAGTATATTCCTTCTGACTAGGAAGAAATGGGTTTAAGGTCACTGCTCACTTTCTTTTTTCCGTGTTTCAGGTGACTATGCTCAGGTGAGCCTAAAGATTGGCTACCTTGAAAGTGGCATCTATGATGTTCCAATCATAATCACAGATTCAGGCAGCCTGCCCATGTCCAACACCTCCTACCTGCGGATTAAAGTGTGCCAGTGCGACATTAACGGGGACTGCACCGACCAGCAACACATCATAGCTGCCGGTCTGGGGACGGGCGCCATCATATCCATCCTGCTCTGCATCATCATCCTCCTCAGTGAGTGTCTCACTCCTAAATTGCACAAAAAAAGAGGGAACACAGGGATTATAAAGACAGTTATCCAGTATATCACTAGATTACTGCAGGCTTACCAAAAAGATAGCCTCGATCAGGCCCACATCCAAGCTCTAAAACATGGCATCCGATTAAATTTCCGTGAAAGTGTCCAAGTTATAATATTTTTGTAACACAAGCTCTCTCTGTGGCTCTTTCAATCAGTCCTGGTGCTGATGTTTGTGGTGTGGATGAAGCGGCGCGATAAAGAGCGCCAGGCCAAGCAGCTTCTCATCGATCCAGAGGATGATGTGAGAGACAACATCCTGAAGTATGACGAGGAGGGCGGCGGAGAGGAGGATCAGGTGAGAATCATGTCAGAAACAGACATTTAGGCCGTTCGTTGGAAGAATCCAGAACATTTGTCTTATTATGATCATTTTTCTTAATTTTCCCAATTTTCCTGTAGAAAATTCTGGAAAGTGATGGCAACCTCATAGTAGTGGTTTCTTGTTTTACTCTGCAGTTTAAAATCTCAAGAACCAATTCAATTCTGGTTTTCAAGAGTTAGAATCAATTATTACGATCCAACCTTTTTCAATCTATTCCAGTTTGATATTGGCAAACGGTAAATGGACTGTTTTTTTGTATAGCGCCTTCTTAGGGTTATACATCCCCCCAAAGCACTTCACAACATAGTCAGTAATTCACCCATTCACAGTCTGGTGTAGCTGTAGCTACAGCTGCCCTGGGGCACACTGACAGAGGCGCCACCGGTCCCTCTGACCACCAGCAGCAGCAGGCAAGGCGGTTTAGGTGTCTTGCCCAAGAACACAACATCAGCATTCTCTGGTCAGAGTTGGGATCAAACCTGCAACGTTCCGATTACCGGACAACCCGCTCTACCTCCTGAGCTACTGCTATCCCATTGATATGGGTCAGTGCTATTTAACACTAGAACTCCCAGGAACCGTCAGTTTGACGGCTGTCATTTTGGCCATTAAATGCAGGCTGACGATGGTGTTGTGGAGCAAAATGGTTCAAGTACGTTATCAATGAACTCTTTATGGATGTGTGAACCTAATAAAATAGTAAGAAAATATTGTTTTAACCCAAACCTTGAAAAGAAGTCTCTCTATTGTTCTTGTTGATCTTCTCCGTGGGTGGGGGCGAGGGGTCCCAGATCGTCTTCCGCGTTGCTGTCAGAGTCTCTGCCGCTTCCTACTGACCAGTTTTCATCAACTTTCCCCTCTCCGCCTGAAGCAGCTTCATTTCTCATGCTTGTTTCACTGAGAACATTCTTATAAAAGCTGTTTCAGCCACTATTTCACACGCAGTATGAACGGAGAGGGAGCGCGCGCGGGCTGGAAAGTTGGTCGCTTAGCAACTGTGACGCTGTCCGTTACCCACGGGAAAACTTTACCGTGTAAGCAATAGAGCCATCATATTGATGGCTTGTGGGAGACGAAGACAAAAATAGCTATGTTTATTTTTTGATACATTGTTTTATGGAAATGATGAAGCAAAAATTAAGGACAAATAAAAATAGGAAAAGCCAGGAAGCCAGGACAACATGAGATCCATCTAACTAAAGTTATTACACATCAAACTATGAAAACGGTCAAAATGACTGCCTTGGGAGTTCTAGTGTTAAACATTTATTTAGAGCTGTTACCTTAATTATATCAATGATGCAACAGTGGGTGAGTTTCGGTTTGAACCCTTTTAGTTCTAAACCTTAAAATGGCCGTCTGGACTTTTCCTTCCAGCTTTAGCTGTAAAAAGGGCAAACTATGTTAAACAATTCAATTGACTCAAAGTGTTACAGTGCCATGATGGGGGAAAAAAAACAATAAAAGGTAAATGTGCTACCTTTGTCTGTGACAAATATTCTGGTCACATATTTGCTGCACAGAAACAGTTTGGCGGAACCAGCAACAGAACAAAAGAGTGCCACTTAGATTCTTTCTGCAAGCTTTCATACATTTAAATCTGCTTGTTATGCTGCTCCCAAATACACCTCACAGCCAAAAGGTCCGAGGACTTTTATTGAAATTTGGAAGTAGTCGCATTCTTTTTTTCTTCAAAGAAAGCTGGAAATCAAAAGCTGGAATCAATAAGGCAAACACATTTTTGATCCAATTGGTTCTGGAAATATTGGAAATGTTTTGTCAGCTGGAACATCTCGCTGCTTCCCAGCCCTAATGCACACACAAACAATAGAAATGCTGTGCCACAGGCATCAATAATGTCCCATCTCTGTATCCTCCTGCACTGATCAGACTCGCACAGAATTCAATTGTCCTAATAACCCCTTGTTAGCAGAACGGAATCATTTCATAAAAACAGGCAGTATTACACCAAATGGGCCATTTTCTTGCTGCTGGCTGAAGTGCTTTAGTGGCTTAGGTATAGCTGAAATGTGCGGAAGACCCCAGTCTGACCCAGCGCAGTGCCAAATTACCCTCGGAGACTTGTAATTGGTGAGCTGATGTCATTTAGAGACAGACATCTGCTGTGGTGCAATAATGAAGCCCTGTCTAAGGTAACAATATGACTGGAAAGCCATTACACATCTGCCAGTGATTAAGCAGTAGGGAGAACACCCATTTGTCTATTAACATACTCCGACTCGCACATAAAATGGCACAAACCTGTGGACCAGAACGCGTCGAGAAGGAAACTGTTGCACGATAAAGCGCCCCTCAGAATCGAGCAGTTGCAGCGATTTATTGAGAGGAAACAAGCTTCCAGTTTGAACGGGATAGAAAGGCCAGAGCACCAGCAGAAAATGGGCTTGTCTGTAGAATTGTATGCGGAGTCAGTGTTGGGTAAAAAATGGACCTGACTTTCCAGAGATGTAGTCTTTATAATGCCCACCTCTCTTCTCCCTATCTCCCGCAGGGGAGGAAATTGAAGTGTCAGACCATTGGGTGCTCTCGGTGTATGTGATTGTAGCTGCTGCTGCCATTGCCCTGGTTGGTATTGGTTTGTAAAGCCCTTGTTTAATCAAACGGCAGACGGGTGATCAGCTTGCTCTGACTGGACGTGGTCTTAAAAAAAATAAGGTGGTTGGACCAACAGATGAGTCTTCTGTTTCTTAAAGGTCAACTTCACAGAAAGTAATTTTTCTGATTTCATTATTTCTGATTATAATCGGTCACTCTGAGTTTGGCATGCAGGCTGAAAATGAAAATGGTCTCCTACACCTACATCCTGCATTAGCTTCTGATAGAAAATGGATGGAGAAACACGGGGATTTGAAAATCCTGATGGATCTACGTCACATATTCACTTAACATTCATGGACGCAACGATTTTGACCCGTGACAGGGAAGGCTGTTGTTGTTTTAGCATCCAGGAAACCGCAGAGAACGTCTCAGCTGGTAGAAGCTAATTGTTAGCATTAGCAATGTCACCACACGGCAGAACTCCTTTAGGTTTGTGTTATTTGTAGAGATAAAACATCAACGTCGTAAGTCAGTCATGTTGCTGTTAGTCAAACGGAGCCGTGATAATTGTTCGGCATCAACTGAATTTGAATGATTCCAGTTCCTCGTTTCGATTCCGGTTCCTATAAATTCCCGATTCCGATTCTTTTCAAGCACAAGGTTCAAATACTATACTAAATGAGCCAGCTAACCGCACCAGACGCGATGCTGCTCACATTCCTCTCTGCGAGCTGCAGAGTACGAGCGACAGACAGCTGGTATCATCAGCTCTGAAAGACGTTGATCACAATTTGTAGATCACGTTCTTTTTTTCATGGAGATGGGCCACAGATTCTTCTCCCAGACGGCGGACTGGGAATTAAATCTAGGAATCGAAATGACAAAATTTGAATGATTCTGGGAAAAACTGATGGTTCCAATAGATGCTCGATGCCCAACCACAGGTGTCCAAACATCAGGAAATAAGACTCCAAATTCTGCCGTGTTCTGCCACTTTCTCCTCCGGCTGAATTTTTCATACTGAAACAGGCGCAGGAGCTTTTTTTTTCCCCAGAGTACAACTTGCAAAGTATTTATTCTTACAAGAGACCTTTGAAAATGTTTACAAATATGAGTAAAGTTAACCTATAAAAATCCCTCAATTGATAGTTATATTTTTTTTACATTTTTTCCACTTTTTTGCTTATGCAACATATAGAATGACACATCTGTTTTTATCCTCGTCACAAATAAAAGGAGCCAGTGTTGTCATGGTAATAACTACATAGCATTGATGATTGCTATGTATTGTAACACAGGGTTTACTTTTTACATTTTTAGTGACTGAATTCTATTAATTATGAAGTCCATATCAAATTCTTTGTATTGGTTTAAAACTGAAAGCTGCTTTACCGAATCTGCAAACAAGCTAGGTTTTAAACACAAACACGGAACTCTCAACCCTCCCGTCAGCCATCATCCCTAGGCCACGTCCCCCGGATATGGGAACACGCATTGCTACAGTAAACGAGAGCACACTAAACACCAGACGCCATTTTCTACATCGTTTTTTGTAGTTTGTGACTTCAAATGGTGTTTTTCATTTTAGTACTCCTAGTTTTTCTTAAAGGTAGCAGCCGGCTGTTCCTCCTTCTTTGATATTGAGCAGAAAACCTCTCACACCAGTGGTGTGCTGTAGCAAAATGCACGAGTGTGTAATGAATGGAGGACCCAGGGAAGTGTAGCGGTTCAGCGAGACCGACAACCGGATGGTCCAATCGTTGGTTTTGTACCGAGCCGTGTTATTGGCTGAGGTTTTTAGAAAAACGTGAGAGAACCACTTCATTATTTTGAATCTCCACAAAATATTTATAGCTCTTCTGTGTTAGAAGGTTAAGAGGCATGAAAGAAGTGTTGTAACCTAGCTGTTATGCAGATTCGCCATTGTAGCAGTTAACATATTTATTCACCATCTAATTGAAAGCTGGATCTAAGGAGTTGTTTTGTGTACTAATGCAACCTAACCCAGGGATAAAGGGGGAGAACAGCTTGCTAAAGAGCACCCAATCTGGTTACCAGCACATATGTTCTCTGTTGTAATGCTGCGTTAACAAGCTGCAGGATCCTTCTTCTGCTGGCATAGATAAATACATGAACCGTAACAGTCTCTAGTTCAATTCCAAGCTAAATAAAATGTGGTATATTTTGAGCCCATTGCTTTATCAAGTTTAGTTATGAAATGTAGATAAAATGCAAGTGATGTTCTCCCAATCGCGTCAAATTCGTACAAGGAAGTTTCTTTAACTTCCAGGGGATTTTAACAAACTGACAGGTTTCTTTAATTTCTTTGACAAACCTCGGGGTTTGTTTAAAACCCTTCATGACGAGTTGCCTCAGCCTCTCAGTGGTGCTGCTGCTGCTGCTGCTGCAAGGGTAATATCAGTCCAAATGATGCCAGAATCTACAGAAACAAACCACCATCCTTCTAGCCTTCATGTTGGATTCTAGGCGACAGTTGGGATTTCAAGACCGGCATGAATATTTTAGTTCCGTCATAATTATTACATAGTTGTCTGTTTGAGTCGAACACGATTGTTTTAATTGCAGAGGCTGTTCACATTCTTGCGCTATCATCCCAGTTAAACACAAAAAAAAAAAAAGCTGCATCAGAACCAGCCGGAACAAATCGCTTGTTTATCCCAAGATTCTTAGTTTTTAATGGTAATCCAAACACGTTTCAGTGCGCTTTCATTGGAATTGGCATCATGCAATATTCACAACGGTCCTAAATGATTAACTTGGTCCCATTTGTCTCACCACAGATTGAAGGGAAATGGTGATGTTTGAATGTGGGTCATGAGTGGCAGGGTGCAGCCATTTCACCAGGCGCCAGTGTTCACACAGCGCTCACTAAAGAGCACTGCTATACATCATGCCACATTTGATTTGTTTGATGAAAAGCAGATATTTTGTTAAAAATCCGACAAACGGATTTCGCCAAGTTACAACCCCCTCCGCTTCATTTCACTGAGAACTAAATGTTGCTCCCAGGAACGTTTTTTATGATGAATAAATCTGCTGGCGTCGACTATTTCAGCCAACAGTCATCAGATTTGGTTAAATTAGATGTTTTGATAAGAAACGCTGGTGCAGTAGTCATTGTTTTTAGCTGGGAGTGAGTCTACTGTAAATAAGTGGCATTTGGCCTACTTGCTGTTGGTGTTGGGGGTGGTGCATGCAGCAGCTCAGGGTTTATTTGCTTGAAGTCTGTAGATGTGTTCCTCCTCTGAAGGTACATCTGCAGCAGAGCAATGACAATTCTGAGGGGGGGTATTAGAGATGGATGGATTACCGAAAATCTCTTAAAGAGGGACAATCCATCAAGCACGCTTATTAGGCACACACTGATTCTCAAATGGTATTTTCTTTATCATGTCTGCCGTCACCCTGATAGCATCCAGTCATTCAGCTCTGCTGCTGTGCTCTTCAACTTTTTCCTCCTCATCCTGTTTTTCTTTCTTCTTTCCTCCACCCGTGACTTTGCACAAACTGCATGCCACTCAGGTTGCCTTGGTAGTGTTAATAGGATTAGCAATGGCTTATGCATATCCACCATCCTGTGTCTGGGCATTGATTAGAGGGAAATAGTCACCTGCACGTCCTTCCTGCTGCACACGACACAAGCTCAGAGGCTCTGCAGCGTATGATGTGATCCTCGGCTTGGACCCCTTCAGTGCTGCTTCGTTTTTATGTGTCAAGTTGTTCCTGGACTCGTGCCTCACAGACGAGAAGATTAAAGTTTCTCTCGCGTTCCCTCATCTCTGCACTCCGCATTTCAACTTTCAAATCTCTCCCCCTTCCCCTGAGTTGAACTCGATTTTTGCTCTTTACAGCATAGAATGTGTTTATCTGTTTTAAATAATCGCACACGGGTTGAGGTCTTGTCGCGCTGCTCTGTTAAGTCCCATCTGTTTGCGTGTTTCTCAGGATTACGACCTGAGTCAGCTTCAGCAGCCAGACACACTAGAGCCCGACGCCATCAAGCCGGTGGGAATCCGGCGTCTAGACGAGAGACCCCTCCACCCTGAGCCACAGTACCCGATGAGGACAGCAGCACCCCATCCTGGAGACATCGGAGATTTCATCAATGAGGTAAAAAGAAAAAAATTCAGCATAAATTCTTTTTTTTTATTTTTTTTTTTACCAAAACAAATACGAGTTTTATTTATGTCACTCGGTTTTCCATGAGACTCTTGGAAAACTGAACATATATGATGAAAGATGGAAATCTGATTATAACCCTCCCACCGTCTTCATGGGTGACCCCGCAAAGAAAGCCGACCACTGAACAGGACCGACGGCCCATCCCCCGAGGTCCACGTGACACGGGCGAGGAGTCCTCTGCCCAGGGGCGGTGGTCGGCTGCGGCGGCCTGGGTGCTTTCCAGGTGAGCCTGGGTGGAGGTGGGGTCCCCCCCCCCCCCCCCCCCGCCCTGGGCGCCCTGTGTCGGTGCCTCGGCTGCATAAATTCTTGCACAAAAGATCAAATAAAAGATTCATAGTTGGAAGTTATATATTTTATTTTCAAGTTGTGTGAGCATCTTTTAATAAAATATGCATCTAAATCAAATATTTGGCTTTTATGACTGAGCATCAAGGAGTTCTGCCTGCCTTGTGGTGGGGGGGGGAACAGACTTGTTTTCATGTTTTCCCACTAGGGACCAACTCTTCTAATTTCACATATATCCTCTCTGACTTGTATGAAGCCCAAAGAATATACATGACACTAACTCGGTCGGATATAATTGTTTTCCTCCTTGCATTCCTCCAAAGCGGAAATGGAGATGTGTCAGCATAGTAATGGAAGATGAGAGAAGCAGAGCATTGGCTTTCCATCGGCGTGCGCCGCTCAGAGTGCCCTCGTTTGCCTGAGGCCATCATTGACTCCAGCATGAAGGGAGAATGTAAAATGAAAAGAGGAGTCATATATTTTTCACAAGCTCCAACAGACAAGAGTTTCACAGCATTACAAATGAAGTTTGCTCCTGGTTTTGGATGGTGCCCCTGTTTTCAGGTTCGAGCTTGCGCTTTCAGCTCCTCTGCTGCACCGTTTATCTCTCACAATCCCCTCACCCAGGGAGCCATTCCTTTCCATCTGATCACGAGTCATGAAACCAGGTGATAAAGTTGTCGGAACAGCCGACACGGGGCGAAATTGAATATGTTTAAGTGTACGCTGTGTTTCTTCACCGGTCCTTAGGTGTCATTTCCATATGCTGTTGAGACTTTTTTTGACAATCATTCCCAGAAAACGCTCCCTGGAAGCGGGCAGCATTGATCCGTGTGTAGTCCCACATTTGACTGCGGCGAAAGCGAAGTCATGGTAGCTGCAGCGTGCACATCGAGTTAGAATGACCTAACTGATATGGCGCGCTGCCAGGAGAGAGCGGAGACAGAGAGGAGGGGAGGGGAGGGAGCATGTCTCATCTCCATCCTGAATTGTGCACATTCCCCCAGAGCTCGGGGCTCTTAATTAAATTAGAGGAACAGGGGGGAAAAAAATCAGGCGCGGGTTTAGCATAAGGACATTAACCCCATAGTTGGACAAATAAAGGTCCATTAGTCAACTTCTGGCCTGTTCTCACAAGGAGGGAGCGGGGGTTACATTAAAGACATTAGCACCAATGTGGCATGACCTCTGCTCTCTGCAGGTGGATACTGGAGGAGACGAGGCTGAAGTGATTACATTCATTGTTGTGCACAATGGCTCGTTTGAGTCCTCACAAGGTTTTTGTGTGTGGACTGAGATAGCAGCAGCTTTGATTACACCGCTTTATCTCCAAGACAGAGACACTCTAAAAAAGCGATGACTGCTCATCAGTTTACGACTCGCCCGGCTATTCAGAAGTTTTCTGTTATTTTTTAAATGCCGAGCTCATTAAAAGGCCCAACCTTTTCAAACTGCCAGCAGAGTTTTTGAGTTGCGAGATGGAGGACGCTACATCTGGCGGAGCTAATGTGGTTGTAATTTAAATGAACTACCCATCTGTCATATTTTCCACCAAATGATCAGCATTGCGGCCCTGAGCAAATACTTAACCAAAGCTAACAAGTGGAAAATAATGGCTAAGTGCCCAGGCACTTTAATTCCATCCATCTTTTTATTTGAGAGCATTTCAGCAGCGTTGTCACCGTGTAGAGGAAACTATAAATCTTTGACAGGTTCTCAATGAGCTGAGGTCTCCTTTCTGTGTTATGGTCCTGTACCTCTTTTAATTCATTTATTATTTGGTGAGTGTCCTCAGTTCTAGCGATGAGAGAGAAACTGGGCTTGGATCCAAAAGTGCTTCATGGCCAAAGCACATCTCAGCTCCTAGATTAGCAATCCATCAAGTCTCCTGAGACCTGTTAGTGAATGAGGCTGGAAATCTATAAGAATCCATAAAGACCTCTCGTGACGCCACGAGGGTTTCTGGGAATGTCAAGTACGAACTCCCAAATAACCAATCACTCCCATCGGAACGGCAAAGCTTTTATGTCTAACACGAGAGGCGCGCATGGATGGTAAACACCTGCATGACCTCATCCCTGCTTACAATTGGAAACATATTAAAGATATTTTGAGCTAGATGGTAGCTGACATGGTACTAGAGCTGAGGGCAGGGGCTAGGAAGAGAAGGGGAGGCACGCTAAGGATGCTAGTCATGCTCAGCCTTGGCTTTTGATCGAGTTGCAGATAATCCGATGTTCTTGAAACATCAGGAGGATCCCAACTAAGAGGGAGACAGGAACAGTGGAGCCTGATTAATCTGGACAAGAACCACATTTCCTGAACAAGCAGAGGGAGACCCTTTGAACGGTTTTAGGGAAGATTAGCCTGTTTGGAAGGGAGCGATGTTTATGTGGCTTCCTACTTGCTGGAGTTTGGAGTTTAGGGTGCAGATGCTGTTTAATCTTATCTAACTGTGCTTTTTTTGTGTGCTCAGGGACTGAAGGCAGCAGACAACGACCCCACTGCTCCTCCATACGACTCCCTGCTAGTGTTTGATTACGAGGGCAGCGGCTCCACAGCCGGCTCCCTAAGCTCACTCAACTCCTCCAGCAGCGGGGGCGACCAGGACTACGATTATCTCAACGAATGGGGCCCTCGCTTTAGAAAACTGGCAGACATGTACGGCGGAGGCGACGACTAGGCACATCTCGAAGGATAAAAAGATTAAACAAGAAAAAACACATGAAGAAAAGGAAAGATTTTCCTGTTGAAGGACAGCTTCTGATATTCCCTGAGAGTGGTAGAACTGTGACTGAAAAGATACAAATAATAAAACATTGATTCAGAATTTCTTTCAAAAACAACCAACCTAGGCTTATTGTTGTAGTCTCCGCATACATATGCTGTTGAAAGCTTAGGCATAGGCTGTGGTCCAGTTAAGGAGGATGTTGGAGTGGGTGCTGGGGGACTGTCGCCACTCGGACTGGCGGTGTTGAATGCGCTCAGTTAAACTTGAATTTCACAGTACAGAAGCACTGGGATATAATGTGCCTTTTTGTACATTTGTTTTGGATCTAAATGATTAGTTTTATGTTCAAGGCTTTAATGGTACTGACTTTTGGAGTGATTTCAAACAGTATGTTACACTCTGGTATGCTTCTACATGTTTCTTCTTTTTTTTTTTTTTTTCCTTTTTGTTACACAATGCTCCTGTTTGAAAATTATTTAAATAAATCTAAGGATGATAGAACATCTGTTAGCTTGGATGGGGAGAAAAACGATCGAGAGCAGCACTGTACAATATTCTAGACTTTTAGACTTTCTCACACACAAGAAAATACGTAAAATTATGCAGCCGGTTGCAAATAAAGGGAGTTATAAATCACATTTTTGTAGCAGATTTTCTTTATTTTTTTCTTTTTTCACTTTTATTTGAGGTGATTTAATATTTTACAACAGCAGCAACCTGTTTTGGTCTAATCTATGTACACTTCTTTTGCCTTAGTCTGATATTTTGGAGTTTTTCCTTCACTGTAAAAAGATGCGTGTACATAAGTTTTTTTTTCTCTTTTCTTTTGATGTAGTGTTACAAAGAAGTGCAAAGTTCCAAACTTGTAAATGTAAAATTTGAACAAACAAAATTCAAGTTTTTTGCATGTTTTTATCTTTTCATGACAACAAAAATTTGAAAACAAAAAAAATGTTGTTTCCCAAATTTCTTTACAAAGTACAAAAAAATAAATAAATAAATAAAATTCTGGGTGATAAATGTGTAGAAGTTACGAGTATTTTGTATAAAATTCATAAAATCACGGTGAAATAGAGGACTAGTGATCTTGTCAGCACAACTGTTGAATTTGTACCAAAAACGGAAAAATCATTCAAACTGGGATGTTGGGTGGGATGGTGGCAGTAACGAATGAATCAGCTTTAAGACTGGATTAAAGGTGTTGAAATGAAGCCTTGTGGATAACTATGTGTACTGCAACACAAATTATACATCTCTGACCCCAAACATCCAAATAAAAAGCATATTTTGGAGCTAAAACAAGAGCAATCACTGCCTCTTTATTTTAACCTAACTCAGCTTTACTGCAGAGGCTTAATTAGATTGTGAACCGTTTATTCTGATAGAGCAATAGCTTCACAGACTAAAACAAAAGTAATTCAGTGTAGAATTGTTGGCCAGAGGGAAAAATAAATCATTTATTCCTTTGCTCATTTGTCTTCAGATATTGCACACAAATAAACATTAAATCTTATGTTTGTTTTTTTTGCCCCGAGCTGAACTTGAACATCATGGAACACCCAAATCCATTCAGCACTTGTTTACTGATTCGTTCCGAGTACTGTACTTGAAAACTGGGTGAGAAGTTGAGAAGAATAACACATTTATTTTGATATTTTGGATTTAATTTTGTTGAAAAAAGTCAGAAACACTATCTAAACCCAGTATCTTGTGCTGCTTGGGTTGGATTCATTACTGATGTGGGTCAGGATGGCAAAGGAGTTAAGTGTCTGTCCTGTAATCAGAAGGTTGCTGGTTCAAAACCTGCCCCAGCTGTGTCCTTGAGCAAGACACTTAACCCACATGGCCTGCTGGTGGTGTTCACGGGGGCCAGTGGCACCAGTACTAGGCAGCCTCGGCTTTGTCAGGGTGCCTCAGGGCAGCTGTGGCTACATTCTAGCTCATCACTACGTGTGTGTGTGTGTGTGTGCATGGGTGAATGGCTGGCTGTGTTGTAAAGTGCCTTGGGGGGTTCTACGACTCTAGATGGTGCTATGTGTCAAATACAGGCCATTTGAGTTCTTTGGTTTTGTCTCAATTTATTAACATTATCCAATTCTACTCTGTTTAAAACAATTGCAGATTTATTAATAAACAAACTTGGGAGTTAATTGTAAACAAACTAAAATGTTTTTGAAATACGTCCTGATAAATTTTGAGACAAAAATGTGCATGACTGCAAAACAAACCACTTTAGTTCAACTGAAAAAGTACATTTTGAGATTGGTTACATGACAGCAGTCTGATGATTAGTGCCAGAGCTAGCTATCCATAGTAATGTCACTCACGTGTTTTTTTCATTTTTGCCAGAATAACAAAACTTCGATTTGAACTGGTGCCCATGTATGACTAGTCGTTAGCTCATCAATCTTATCTAAACTAATCTTATTTTCTCTGAGGTCATTTAAAGAGCAAAATGTCAAACTAGCATCATCTTCCTCCTGAACATCTCACCAGGAACAAAATTATGATTTTAGGGATCTTGTGAATGTGTTATTAGTCAGAGTGACACCACGGCTGTTGTGTGGGGAGCATTCCCCCTTCACCTGTTCCACCCAGGCCTGATTGTTATTCACATTTTCCAGGTTAAACAGATGCACATGTAAAGTTTAACATTCAGCTGAAATAGACTGAGACACGTTTGGTCGCCTGGTCTTCAAATGAAACTTAGAAGTGATCAGCCAGCTTTTCTTTGCAGCTTGTTTGATTTTCATTTTCCGGTCCTGTCCCTGTTAAGAACACCCGAAGACTTGTTTTGCAATGACCTTGTGGTGGGTTGCTCTTATCTCAGAGTATGCATACCTCTTCACTCCATTTGCCAGTATCAACACAAAAATGTTAGCACGCCGAGCTGGATTTAATGTTAAACAACAAACCGTGTGACCTCCAGGTGTTGTTCCAACTGCAGATGTGCTCTGCCAGAGCTTTCCAAACCAAACTGCTGGACTCAGTCGCTCCTTTTTTTTGGTTTCTGCTCTTCTCTCAGAAGGCTTAACTTTCAGCTAACTACTTTCACTGCTTTGATCTGGAGCCAGCAGACATGTGTTTAGTGATTCAACATCTTAAAAGGGCTTCATTTTGTAGCTCAGAAGTTTCCAAAGTGGGCATTGAAGCAGAACATGGTTTTGATCATTAAAGGAACAGTTTGACATTTTTTTGGACATGTACTTGCTTCCTTTTTTTTTTCTTTTTTGAGGAATGAAATTGGATTGATCCTCGTAATATACACATCTGCAGCCGGACAGAGTCTGTCATGCATCCCTGGCAGATCAATCAGCACATTTCATGAAGTTTTTTCTAAAGGATAGGAATCCAACTATTCATTTTTTTTTGCAACAGTTTTTATTTTTGCAAACTTTTTGTATGAAGTTACCAAAAACACAATCAAAAAAGGCACCATTGTTGCATCTGCGTGCTGTTGGCTTAAAATGCCGCTGGTTTTAACTCACCTCTGGATTACTCCCACCCTGCTGTATTGCCACTACGTTGCTGAGATTGCTCAAACTGGTTCAAATCCACCAAGCCCTCAAGTCCTGTGTCTTTCTTCTTTGCTTTTGTCCAGCCTCAGCAGGGAGAGAGAAAAAAAAAGAATTGATATTCCAGCACCCCACTCCAATTTCACAACATCATGGATTATCCCCGACTGTACACTCGCAATCTGAGAGAGCCCAGGACATAAAGGCAGCTGCTGCACAGCTCCTTCAAAATCCACACTGAAAAACATGCAACCCTCCACAATTTATAGACATGCACTGGTAATACTGCAAAAAAATATCAAGTAAAAGAAGCTGCTTTGAGTTGGGAGTGCTGCTGGAATGCATTAGATGTGGAATCAAAGGCCAACATGCATGTTTTTCAGATTATAGCCATTGACATTGACAGACTGAGCAGTAATTAATGACTATTATGTGAAAGGCACATTTTCATCGTGCATTGCGGGATGGCGCCAGCCGAGGTTGGGTGGAATAATTGCTGAAAAGCGGTGTCTCATTTACACATTTTAGCTAGCTGACAAATGGATAAAAATAGTCATACACTGGGAATATAAATCAGGAGAAAATTATTTGCACAGCTAATTAAGTTGGACGAGAGATGACACCGGTCTCATCTGCCAATTCCTATGAATCACTTTTACATGTGAGCTGAAAAAAAAGAAGTGAACACAAAATAATAAACATGTTATCAGCTGCTCGCCCTGTAAGCGTTGTTTCTCCTGGCTCTCGTGTTGCGACTCCCCCAGCTTTCCATTAGGTGCTGCAGTAGGTGCTGGCGGATTATTATTTCAGTGTTATTCTTCTATGCATGGTATAAACTCAGAACGGGAGGAGGAACTTGACTTATAATGTTCCGGGTTCTTCGGGGGATGGTCTTCACAGGAAAATGGCTGCAGATTGCTGTTCTAACAAGCACCCCAGGGCCACTTTTTATTGACTATGAAACAATGCTTCCACCAAGCGCCTCCTCACCGCAGCAGATTTACAAGACAGCCCTCCTCAGCTCCCTGGTGGTGTGTGTGTGTGTGTGTGTGTGTGTGTGTGTGTGTGTGTGTGTGTGTGTGTGTGTGTGTGTGTGTGTGTGTGTGTGTGTGTGTGTGTGTGTGTGTGTGTGTGTGTGTGTGTGTGTGTGTGTGTGTGTGTGTGTAGATGGCTGAGCAAGTGTCGCAGAGCCAGCTAGCCTCGGTGTGGGGGGTGGAGGGGTGGGTCCAGTAAACATGCAGAATACAAACCAGAACCCAATGCAAACCAGCCTCTGAGTTATGCTGCTCCTGACCTTTGGTGGACTTTGGAAAGATGGATGCTACTCAGGCTATCGATAGAAATTTCTTGGCCCTGAGCAGCAGGAGCATATTTTATATGATTCCCCAGCCCCTGCACGCTACCTTTGAATGAATAAGTAAGTAGTCTGGATGACAGAGAGTGCACACCAGGGCACAACCACCATGTAAAAAAATTGTGTACAGATGCAGTCACTTGTGTAAAATCAATCTACTTGATTCCTGCACAGTTGTCCTCTAAGTGCAACATCAGATGAGTTTGTGTTTCCTCTCACAGTATCGTCCCTTCTTTTTTTTTTTGTGATAGCACCCACACCTTGATCTACAGCCTCCTTGTTTTCTCACTGACTTCAGGCTGATATCTCCTCAATAGCTCACCTTCTGTTTCAGCAGATATTGTCCTCCTCTCTCTGTTAGCGACACTGATTCATCAGTTCTTGTTTCTTCGTGCTGCCATTAGTCTCAGTCCACGCCGCCATGGTCAGAGGAGCTGGAGAGAAGAGGTTGGCGGTGGGTTGGGGGGAGAACGACAAAGGGGTGAGACAAAAATGATGATCGCTGTTTCTTCCCTGATATGCCTATCAGCTGAGCACGAGGTTTTCAGCTTGTACGCGAGCATTCAATGTCACTTTCTGCTGCCTGGGAGTGTGCAAGAGGCATTTCTCATCTCGCCGTGGTTTCGTTTGCATGAATGCTTGACGTGCTCCACAAAAGGACATGTGATCATAAACCACACGCATTGAAAATCACCCAGACGTCATTTTTTTGCACACACACACACACACACACACACACACACACACACACACACACATGCACGCACGCACGCACGCACGCACACACACACACGTATGCTTCAACATTTCTTTAACACCTCCTGAGATGACTAAGGGGAGCAGTAACGTGCTGCTGTGATTTTTATTCTCCTGTGAAATAGAATATGCAAAAGTGAGTTGGGAAGAAGACCAGAAAAAGGGAATAATGGGAAACAAAAAAAAAAAAAAAACAATCCCTCAAGAGTTTTTTAGAATTATTCATGCTTTTAAACACTTGACATTCCATCACCCTCCTGTCATTAAGGTTTTGGGTCCCTCGGCCAAATTCTCACAATAACCGGATAATTTCCTCCAACAAGCACAAATTGGTTCCTGTGGTCTTGGGTAGTGATGGCAGTGAAGGACTTCCACGATCAGTGATTTATAAACGCGCTAAAGGCAAGATGGCCTTGAGATCAATGTGCTGCTGATTGTACGATGGGGTTGTTACATTACTGTTGATATGGAGGAGAAAAGAGGCCGCCGGGTCGGCCCAGACTTTCCTGTCCACTGACTCGATTGTATTCAGCCATCTGTAAGGAGAGCTGAGTGTGTGAGTGACAAGCCATCAGCCAGAGAGAGA